GTGGTTTGAATAGGCTAGCCTGACTCAAAGTCATTTATGACATGAGTTTTATCGAACTAGGTTAAAAAGGTTCATGTTCAATTCAAATTAAACATTTAGAATCTAAGCTCCATAATTAATCATGTGAGTTCGAGCTAATTAGTTAGATAAGTCTAATCCATATTTCACCAACTCTATAGTGCCAAGTCATTGATGTGTGTTGTGTTGGAAAAAATATTATGTGATTCATATAATTTATGGTTGATTTAATTATCCTATTAATTTAATTAATTGCTTGATTATAAGAAATTATTACAAAATAATAATTGACTACCAAGAGTCATAATTTTCATGTTTTATTAGTTTTTAATGGAGGACTATTGTGATAATGAGGCAGAAGGTCCCTAATCTTGCCTATAAAAAGACATGGTGTTTTATTGTCTAATGGACTTAATAAGAAAGGATAAAAACTATAAGAGTTCTCTTTTTATATCTCTAAATATTATTTTATATCTCTAAATATTTTAAATATTTTGTTACATATTTAGTAGTTTGATTGATAACAATGACTAAAAAAAATATTTATCCACTATTATAAGTTATATATTAAGATTTTATTTTTCTTACATTTGGTATCATAGCTTACTTTGTAGTTTTGTTATTCAATTTATTTTTGTTTAGCTATCAATTTTATTGATGTAATTGTTGAGTATAATATGATTTTAATTGTAATATGACATGATTCAAATAGTTTTAGATATTTTAGTAAATGATCAAATTCTCTTATTTTATGTCAATAGTGTTAACCCATATATTTTGTCATTTTTTTTGTTGCTAATTTCTTATTTTTATTTTATTGGTTATTATATTCAATTAAGAGAGAATCAAAGATGTACTATAGATCTCATAATAGTCTTAATTACGTAGTTAATTGCTATTATTAGTAACAATTTATTCACGTTGGGTTAAATTGTTAATTGTATTAAGTTGCTAATAATTAACAATTTAACCCATTGTAACAAAAGACACAAGAAAAAACAATTAATTAAGGTTATGCGCCAAATATCATGATGAGATATTTTGATACTCATAAGCATAAGCATGATCTATTTTATTATGATTTTTATTGTCCATTATACAAAGTTTGTAAATTTTATGAATGTTTTGCATCAAAAGGTTTGAATTTACTAATTTAAAAATCATCATAATATTAATATTATATTATATATTTTATCACCCTGTACAAACATTCCAAAAAGTTAGTTGGAGTCAAAATTCTCAATAACTAAAAGACTTACATTAAACTTTGTCTTTTGATTTTATGATTTTATGCACATTAAATTTGTCATGTAAAGATATGAATCATTTGAATCAATATAGTATAAACTTATTTTAGTTATCAGAAAGTATTATGCATTATAATGCATATGGAAAAAAGTGTTCATCTTAAAATATAATCGTCATGATTTTGATAATTTCTACATAATTTTGAAGAATTTCAAGCTCTAAATTAAATGACCATATTTAGTTGTTGGTGATAATGATAATCTCTAAAAAAAAAAGTATACGAGTCAAGTGAGAAAATGTTAAAAACAATATTATATGACTCGTATAATTTATAGTTATTTTAATTGTTCTATTAACCTAATTAATTGCTTGATTATAAGGAATTGTTATAAAATAATAATCAACTATGTTTTATTGGTTATTAATGAAAAACTATTATAATATAAGTTTTGCGTATAATATAGACTAATAGACCTGCACTTCTATTTATTCTGGAAATGCATAAACAATTTGAATGGGCAATTTTTTTTTTTGGGCTTAACCCAGTGGCTATTATTGAAGCCCAACAACAAGCAGAAGAAATATATTTGGACTTATGATATATATATCTCTTTTTTTTTAATAAGTACACCTCCTTTATTTTTTTTTAAAAAATTATAAAATATTATAGTTTTTTTTAAAAAAAATTATAATTTTATATCTTTAACTTTCAATTTTTCTACTTTCTTCTTTTTTCACATAGATTTTTTTCTCTTTTAGTTTTCACATGTTACCAAAATAGGTGAGGTGAAGGAAAGGTAAGGGGTGCATGTAAAAACTAAAAAAGAGAAAAAATATGTGAAAAAAATATATTAAATTAAATATTGTGGATGTAAAATTAAAAAATACAAAATACAAAATTAAAAAAAATTAAGAATATTTTAAATTTTAATTATTTAAAAAAAAAAAAAGAGCTATACTTATAGAAAAAAGGAGGTGGATATGTCATAAACCATATATTTGTGTGTACTAAATAGTTTACGCAAGGCTAGTTCCCAGCCCACACGTCTTTCCTTATGGTAGCACTTTCTTAGTTGCAAAATTTTATCATAAGCCCTTCATATTTATTAGAGGTTAGCAATAAGCCACCGGAAAGGATGAAGATTAATTACTATATTTAATATTTTTAACAATATTTACTTACTTATATTTATTAAAATATTATTATAAATTAAGTTAATGCATTATTATAATATTTTTTTTATAAAAATATTATTATAGATAGAATAATATTTTTATTTTAATATTTTTTACAATTATCTTTTAAAATTGAGTCTTATATCAAATAAAAAAATTATATATAAAGTTATATTTTTTCTATCTTTAATTATTTTTCAAAATTAAAGTTTAACATCAAATAAAAAAAGATACATAAATAATATGTATAATTATAGAATAAAACTTAAGATAAATGAATTTTGACATGTGATTTAGATAGTGACTAACTTGGGATATCTTCTCTTGTTAAAAAAAATTAGAATATCTTAAAACTTAAAAGACTTATAGATAAAAGTCATATATTAAAAATGGTGATACAATCTAATTATCATTTTATAAAGACTACAAAAACTTAGCAAGATTTTTATTAAAATGTTACAATTATACTTTGATAACATTTTAAAAAACTTTATCATTAATATGTAAAATATTGTTAAAAGTTTTAAGTAACATAAACTTTATCTTACATTTGATAAAATATCGTAAGGTACATTAATAATATTTATTCATAATTTAATAATATTTTTTTAATATTGCTAGAAACACATTTTGTTGTATTGGATAATCAAAAAGTTTGTTCGCCGTATGCTTTATTTTTTATAATGTAATTTAATTTGAATGATATCAACCATTCATGCGTTTGATATAATATCCTATAAGTTTGACCAATTACAAGATTTATAAACTTAAAAGCAAACATGCTTTCATATAAATTTAAAATTAGCCATGCTCGTAATTAAAAGAAATAAGTTATTTTAGTTGAGAAAGATCTCTAAAGTTTTTAAGAAAAATTTTCTCAAAAACAAAATAATTTATTGCAAGATGTTTTAATCAATTATAATAAGCCAATTAGTTTCTAAAACAAGATTTTCTTATTGGTTTAATCGGTTACAATAAAGTGGTAATCAATTACAACAAGGTTTGTTCATCTGTGAAAATTAGGACTTTTTGTTTAATCAATTACAAGGATTTTTAACCAATTACTTCGTTCAAAATTGTTTTCTAGAAAATTGTGACTCTTTAGTTCAAATTTTGTTTTCTAAAAAATGTTTACAATAATCTTTATTACAACAAAATTCAAACATAAAAACTTGTGTAAGATACTTTATCTTCTAAATTCTAAACCTAAACATTTATGAAAGAGTTATAATATGTATCTAAAAAGATTCTGATGATAATTGAAGTGATAAAAAAAAATTGAAATGAAAGTGGGATGAAAGAGAAAGTAAATTTATGTTAGTAATTTTTCTTTATGGAAGCAGGCAACTTCGATTACGAGGATGTTTGTCCCCTTGACTATCGCTAACTTTCCTTTATAATAATAAGGTTTTTTTTAATCTACATAATTCACCCTGTTTTTAAAATTAATAATTAATAATTAATTTATATTTATGAAGCATAATTTTTCTGATCAAATATTATTTTAATATAAATAGAAATTGAACATAAAATCACCAAATTAACTTTTGGTGTTACAGATCAACCTTTACAATTATTGAATCAAAAGACTTGATTTTATAATAATAAAGTTTAATATATTATTTAGTTGTTGAACATTTTGAAAATCTTTAATTAAGTTTTTAAACTAAAATATATATAATCTAATTTTTCATCTTTTTATATTATTGTAAGTTGAGCATAGGTTAATTAGAAGTTTGTTTACAATCTGTGAAATTTGATAAAAAAAATATATTATTTTTATTATCCTATATGTAAACCATATCAAATTATTATTTCAAGTCATCAAAATAATTTGTATTGTAAAAATTCTTATAATCTCCTTAATCATAAGAATTATAAAATAATAAAAAAATTTAACATAAATATTAAAACATGATATACATGAATGGTAACGTGAAACATTCTAATGTAGTTTGTTTGTGTATCCAAACATAAAAAATATTTTTTTCAAATTTTACAGATCATAAACAAACTTTTAATATCAAAGATTAAATTAAAAAAATAAAGACTCAACTATAATTTATTTATTTTTTAGCTTAAGAACTCAATTAAAAATTTAAAAAAATTGAGAGACCAAATATTAAACCTAACTATAACAATAGATAATAGGAATAGTGGGATATCTTTCCTCTTAACTGATTTTGATCTACATTTTTAATGAGAAAATTTAGTTCTTCAAATAAAAACTTCTATTAAGTAATTATATAATACAGAACTGTTTTCAAAGTTATAATTTTTTTTAACAATGGTTAAAGGAGATATATTCTCCTTGAACTCATTTTAGTCGTCATTTTTAATCACATCATTTTGTTTTTCAAATAAAAAACTTCTATCAAGTAACTATAGATTACATTTCTATTATAAATATATAAAAAATTCATTAACAATTATACGTTACACAAGTCATTAATTTTTATAGAAAATAAATAGAGGCAGTCGAAATCAGTGATAACATAATAAAATTGCATGCCCCGTATCAGTATTTCGAAATGTTTATAAACGTAAAAGTAATACAACTCAACACTAGAATCTGGTTCTCTCTGTTTTCGTGTTCTTCTCTGGAAACACGGGAGAAGAACAAGATGCAAGAGAACCACAACACATAATGCATTTCGATAATGGCATAGACGTCACGTTGCATGGCCAGAATTAATAAGCTTCATTAGATTAAATCTTTCTTCTTCCTTAGATTTTCAAAAAAGGTTAATCTGATGGGAAATTGCTTAGAAAATCGTTGCAAGATTGATGACACTTTGAACTCCCAATCCTGTTCTTCTGGTAACGTTTTTTTGGTCAGCTTATAATTTTTCTACCCCCATCATTGTATTAATATTTACTTTGTTTTTGACCCCGTCATTACGTACGTAACAGATATCTTATGTTCTATCGCTGCAGAAATTGGGAGATTATGCGTTTTTCATATTTATTTCTATCAATTCTATGTTTTTTTTTTCTCGTTTATACTACGAGTGTGGATTTTCCTTATGGGTTTTCGAAGGAAATGGCAGTGGTTGTGCATTTGCTTTGTTATTGTTTGTCTTCTTTAGGCTTGTTACATCAAGATCGATTACGTATGAATGAATTTAAAACAAAATATATACTCTTCCAGCGAATTGAAATACAATATAAATTTTACATTGTGATCCTATGATGTATTATCATGGGAAGAATATTAACTTTTGTTATCAATTTAAAAGACATATTTAAGGTGATTTTTCATTTATTGATAGTATAAAAATATTGTGTCTCAAAATTAAACTCATTCAATATACATCTTTCTATTGTGTGTGTTTAATGCTGTAGTTACTCTACAGACCGATTTATATGTGTATTTAACCGCAGTACTGCACTTCATTGTTTGGTTTCTCATCCTTTAGGGGTTTGGCTCAATTTTAATTCAAAGCCATGCTATATTTTATTTTGTTCGTAAAAATTGAACTCACTACTATGAAAGTTTACAATAATTTATTCCATATTTTATTTTATTTTAATTTGTATTTAATTCCTCGTCTTCTATGATTTTCCAATACAATAACGAATATTAAAGGAAAAAAATTGTTTTATTAAGAATATTAAAGGAAAAAATTGTTGTATACCACAAAGCTCCATGTACTTTTTCCATTCACTTGTGTGTGGAGGTGTGGGGACACAAGATATGTAACTGTACTTGTTGTTGACATTGGCATTTTATGACTGGAATTATTTTCAGCATCAAATGTTCATCCAAAGATATTCTCAAGATATAGGATATGTAACTGTTCATTAATTGGCTGTTCCATACTGATGGAGAAGCACATGCTTATCATTATTGGGAGTATGCATATTGTACCTGATAGTACTTTTACTCATGCAAGTGTCTTTTCTGTGTTTCTCTAGGTTAAGATAAAAATAGACAAAAGTCAGTCTAAGTTTGAATAAATTGTGCATTCTCCTTATTTGTTTAAATTTGATACGTGTGAACTTTCTTGGGAAAGTCTTTCTTTTGTCTTAGTTTGTTATGTATTTTATTTGCTAATATTTTGCAGATGATTCATTCCAAAAGGGAATTTCTATGCTTCTTTAAATAAGCTGTTATCTTTCACTAAAATGAAAATTATTTTTCAGATGTTACCAAAGGTCATAGAAGCACCCATTTGTTGGCTCATTCAAGTCCAACACCATATGGACACTGTGATGAGGGTAAACCCGAGATTCTCCCCACTCCAAGATCTGAAGGGGACATACTTTCGTCTCCACATTTAAAAGCCTTCACATTAGATGATCTCAAGAAGGCCACTAGAAATTTCCGTACTGATAGTCTAATTGGAGAAGGGGGATTTGGTTATGTCTATAAGGGGTGGATTGATAGTAAACACTTTAAGCCCACAACGCCTGGAACTGGAATGGTTGTAGCTGTGAAGAAGCTTAAGCCAGAAGGTTTTCAAGGGCATAAGGAGTGGCTGGTAGGTACTTCCTTCAAGGGTCTGTTTGGATAAAATAAATTTAATTTATGCATAAATTAACGTGTATAAGTTCTTTCATATTAACTTCTTTTAAAACTTTTCTTTAACTCCGACTTCAGTTAATTTTAACTTATGGAGAAGTTAATTTTATTGTCCCTTCTTATTTTCTTCTCTTATAAGTGTTTTTGAAGAAGGTTTTCCAAACAAAACCTTAACTATTCTGCTTTTATTCTAAATTGATCAAATTCTAAATCATAGTTCTCTTTGCTTACAGTCTGAAGTGAATTATCTCGGACAACTTCGCCATCCAAATCTTGTCAAACTTATTGGATACTGCCTAGAAGGAGATAACCGGCTTCTAGTGTACGAGTACTTGCCCAACAGATGCTTGGAGAATCATCTATTTCGCAGTATGTTGATGCCTTTAGTAGCTTAAGTTTCAGAAAGTGGAAATTTTCAAACCTGACTTGCTATGATTTAACATTTTGTAAATCAAGTAATCCAATATATTTACTATCACCTAATTATTTTCCAACTATAACACGGAATTTCCTTTGATCAACCATGGAACTATTAATTGCAGAGGGCATACAACCACTTCCTTGGGCAACAAGAATCAAGGTTGCTATTGGTGCTGCTCGAGGTCTCTCCTTCCTACATGACTCTAAGCAACAAATTATCTACCGTGATTTCAAGGCTTCTAATATTTTATTAGATTCGGTAAGTTGCTTAAACACTTGCATTGCCATGTTATTGTGGTCATTTAAGAACTCGTCCAATTTGAATTGATTATTGAACATTCATTTTAACTTTAGTGTCCTAGTAGTCTAGCATTTTAACCTGTTATTACTATACAAATGCAGGAATTTAATGCAAAACTCTCAGACTTTGGATTGGCCAAAGCAGGGCCCACTGGTGATCATTCTCATGTTTCCACTCAAGTTCTGGGCACTCACGGCTATGCTGCTCCTGAATATATTGCTACAGGTTTGATTTTTTCTTAATTCTATTTTCATACTTTGTGGTTCATAAAAATTCTGATGTGCTATCATCTTCCTCATTTTTAATGCTTTTAAATTTTTTTTGTTGGATTGTGAATAGATATTTCACATCAACCTAGTGATTTCATGGATATAACTCAAAGTTTTGGTTCAACTAAGTGATGAATGTAATCTTCAGAGCACAATGTTAATGACAGACCAGTCAACTTAAAATGAACATCTATAATCTACAAGAAATTTCCAAGACATGAAAAGTTGTATTAGTTCATTCAAATGACATCATGCTTGTTTAATTTAAATTGAAGAGTTGCATAAATTCATTCAATATGTGTGTTTTCTTGCAATAATGTGACACTAAAAAATCTTTGATCAGGTCGGTTGACATCAAGGTGTGATGTCTATAGCTTTGGAGTTGTGCTATTGGAACTACTCTCAGGGCGCCATGCTGTTGACAATACAAAATCTGGAGTGGAACATAATCTGGTAGATTGGGCAAGACCCTTTTTGAGTGATAGGAGGAAGTTGTTCAGGATTATAGACACCAAGTTAGAAGGGCAATACCCTCAGAAGGCAGCTTATACAGTTGCAATTATTGCTCTACAATGCATTAGTGAGGCCAAGATTAGACCACAGATGTCTGAGGTTTTGGCTGCCTTGGAACACCTGCCAGCCGTTAGACATACAACCAACCCATCTAGAGAAGAGAAGTCCATTCCCAGTTCCATGAGAGAGGGTGTTGGTCCTGCTGCAAAACTCCCTTTGAGACAAGCATAATCATCCTCAACAAAATCCAGAATTATAAAGTCCCAAGGGGAACAATACAGTATAGGTGTATTTTCTCTTAAGGTTAGATCCTCTTTTTATGGGTTGTGTTAGGTGATAGCTCCCATGAGAGAGTTTAGTGGACTGCACTGTCATTTCAAAGAAAATAACCTATACTTATACTTCCAGATATTTTATTCTTACAGACATGATGTCTGTTAGTAAAACTAAAAACTACTTCTACTTACAAATATTTGATGTACTTAAAACTCAAATACTAGTACTTATAGATGTTTATTATAGGTAAAATCTAAAAACTCATTGTTATACAACTCACATTGGATAGTTTGTCTGTAGGTGAGTATGAAATAGTCATATACTTAGAAATTTTCAACTTTTAGTAGCAGTTTTTGTCCATAACTACAAGTCAATTTTCTTGTAGTGTGTTACTTTATCTATAGGTGCAGAACTTTGATCATAGAGTTGCCGTCAGCATCAAAATGCTTTGTATTATCCATTGTCCATCAAAAGGAATAATCTAGTTCCTGCCAATCATAACAGCATCATTGCAACAAGAATTTCAGTTTAGGTGCATATAAATGATTCTTGTTTACCATCTCAGTCTCTACTATTTCTGTGTAAAATAACTTGAGAGAAAAATTCTTCCATATTATATTCAACTTTCAAAGACCATCATCACCCAATATAAAAATGAAAAGAAGCTAATGAAACTTGAACCATAGAGCAAGATTTCTTGATAACTATTCAAAACTACATAAATGTATCCCAGGAAGCAAACTCAAGAAGAAAAGGCAAAAGAAGATAAAAAATCATTACATTCATTTGCCAAAGACAAGTAAATATTGTAAATTCTGAATTCTATTTAGCTAGCTGTCAATCTGTAAAGCATGACGTGCTCATAAATCTCCCCAGGCTTCACAATCTGTGATGGAAAGTAAGGGTAATTCACAGAATCTGGGAAGCCTTGAGTCTCCAAGGCAATGCCAGCATACTTGTGGTATATGGCTCCATCCTTGCCTTTGGTAGCATTCAACTGGCCACTAGTATAGAACTGCAGACCAAGTTGGTTTGACCACAGCTCCATTTTCCTCCCAGAGACAGGGTCTCTCACCTCAACAGACTTACTTAAGTGCTTTTGGAAACTTCTGTCTAGCACATAGTTCATGTCATATAGACCAGGAAGGTCATGAATCTTGCTTCCAATTTTTCTTGGTTCAAGGAAATCATATGGGGTACCCTTAACAGATATGATTTCGCCAGTGGGGATGAGAACTTCATCCACTGGTGTGATGTGTGAGCCAAAGATTTGAACAATGTGAGAAAGAATGTCTCCACTGTTGTGGCCCCTAAGGTTCCAATAGGTATGCTGCGCTAGATTCACTGGTGTGGCTTTGTCCACTGCCTTGGCAATCATTTTCACAAACAAATTGTGTTTACCAACAAGCTTGTAAGTCACAGACACCTTCAATTTTCCGGGAAAGCCTAACAAATTTTCAGAAAGATGTTTCCATTAGATTTATGACGCAACAGAGGATTATAAATAATAAATAACGGTTTAAATTATTTATTATAAAAGCCAATAAACTTACCATGACAGTAAAAACTAATTTACATTACTGGTGCATAGTATTCACTAAATCATAAGACCAGCTTGAGATATAATCACACATTAACTACGTACCTTCTTCATTTTCAAAACTGTCATAGGAAAATGTTACATGACTGTGTTTCTTGTGGGATTCCACTGACCAAACAACATCACTGAAGCCTCTTGTGCCACCTGATATTTCATATGTGCAAGTGATTCAGCAGTTAATAGCAATACCTCCAATAATTAATCAGAAAATGAACATTTTATGGAGTGGAGTGCGTGGAACTGTGGATTATCAGAAACTTTAATGTACTAATGTTAATATACCATGAAGTGTGTTCCCGTGATCATTAACAGGCAATTTGTAGGTTTTGCCATCCAAAGTGAATTTAGCTCCTCCAATCCTATTTGCCACACGTCCAATAATGGCACCAAAATAACATGTATCATTCTACAACAAATTTCAAGTTTAAGAAATTATTGGTATATTAGACTCAATGTAATCAATAATATTTCCTGCT